GGTAATGGATTAAGTGCCTGCGAAGGACGTGGGGGGGTTGGTGGTACCTTGTGGTGAAGGTGGGGAGAGGGGGACGTTGCCCCTCACGGTGCTGGGATGGAGGGGTGAGCTGGAGGACAGGGGCGGGTTAAGGGGATTTTTGACCCTTTTGGCTGTGTTTGAGTGAGTTCCAAGAGCAGACCTGGGAAAGGCAAAGACGGGGAAATATCCTTTGATGGTGTTGCAAGAGGTGAGGAGGAAAGGAATGCTGGCTCCGGGCTGGGCAGTGGGTTCATCTCCCACCGTGCCTGGGAGGCTGCGGGTCCCCTCTATTCCCGACTCTCAGGATGCAGCATTTGGCTGAGACACAGGGATGGCTCCGTGAGGGAAACCCAAAATTATGGTGAAAGGAAAGGACTGGATTTTCTAGCCCATGCAAACACCCAGGATGTCCTGCTGCTCCACACTGCTGGGGGTGGGTTTGGGATGTCCCCACAGTGGGTGTCCCCAGGATAGGAGCAGAGGTGCTCTCTGGGACTGGGAGCGGTGCACCCACCAGGCTGTGTCCTGCAGTACCTGGCATGACTGTGGGGCTCTGGGCAGCCACATTCCAGCAGCAGGGATGTGCTTCTTTCCAGTGCATTTGGGGAGCAGAAGCAGAGCTGCCACCAAAAAGGGGCTCTTTTCTCACAGCCCCCAGGGGACAGCCAGGCCCAGTGGCCATTTGGGGACGTCCAGGCGTGCCCTGCCCTCCCTGCTGCCGAGCCAGCAAGTGTGTGACAAGCTCTGACATCACAGCTGGGAAAATAACATGTTATTTTCCCAGCTTGGATGTGACTTTCCCTGCTATTACTGGCAGCGACCATCTTGGGAGGAGAAAGCAGCAGAGGGCTGTCAGGAGAGGGGAGAGAAATGGTTTTCTGGGCTGGTGGAGCCTGTCCAACCCCTGTGGGCTGCAGGGAAGGGGGGATGCTGTGCAGGGGCGCCCCATTCCCTGCACCCCCTTGCTTTCAGCAGCAAGTCCATGCTGAAGGTGCAGGTGCACGTGAGGGTCCTGTGGGTTGTGCTGACCAGCCACCCCAGTGTTGAACCAACCCTATTCCACCCACAGCAGCCCTCTCCCAGGTGGGGAAAAGGGCTTGGAACCTCATCAGGAGCCATCTCCTGGTGGCATCATCCACAAAACGATGGGAACAGAGCAGCTTCTGTCCTGCATGCCAGGGACAGATGCTGTGCTGGCCTGTGGGACAACATGTAGCCCAGTGAGCTGTGAGCATTCCCTCCTGAACCCATTCTTGGCCATGGCAGAGTTCTCCGCTGGAAAACTGGAGTTTGAAAGAATTCAGTGCAATAAGGAGCTGATAGTTTTTTGGGAGGGGAAAAAAACCCCCAAACAAAATGGCAACAACAAAAGTATTTCAGCAGAAGTTTCTTGTGCCCCAAAGCTTGAGAAATGCTGGTTGTTCTTTGGGAGAGCTCAGCTGGGCCACCTCTCCCCTGGGTGCTTAAATCATCAGCTGGAAAAAGCCATTTAACTTGAATATCCTCCAATATTCCAGTGCCATTTAACTTGAATATCCTCCAGTATTCCAGTGCCACGATCCTTTGGAGCCCAGATCCGAGGGTGTTCTTGCTGCACCAGCTGGGGTGTCCAGTGAAGTTTTTGACTGAGGGTAGAGGATGTTGTGTGCCACGGCAGCTGCAGCTCCTCAGGAAGCACAGGGATGCTCTCTGGGGCAGTGGTGGCTGTGACTGTTTAGCCTTGGAGGAGCAGCATGTGTTGGTTTCCAGCGCTGCTTCCAACGGGGCTGCGAACGGATCGTATGGGTAAGGCAGAGCTCAGTGTGTTCAAAAAGCCAAGTCCAACCCAGTGTGAGTCTTGCAGAAGGAAAAATCGTCCCAGAAATCACGGAGTCACAGGATAGATGAGACCCACCAAGTGCCTGCCCTTCCCCTTGGTGCAGCACCAGGGACTGCAGTGATGGGGTGCTCTGAGCCGCACAACACATGTTTAATTACTTTACTGCCTTAATTGCTATCAACCCTTCCAGTTCCCATGATTTGGTGGTTTCTCACTGCCCCCTTTGCAGTTTCCCACAGTCCTTCCACCCACCCCTGGTGTGTCTCAGGAAGGTATTCCAGGGGCTGGAGCTGCCGGGAGGGAAAAGCAGTGGGCGATGGGCAGAGCGTGAGCAGCTCCTGAACCACCTGGACCTCCCCAGCGGAGGCATTTTGGGCTTTCACAGTGACAGGCTTGTTTCTGCAACACCCACCCAGCTGTAAGGGCAGTGAACATGGGCTGGGGGCTCCCCATTCCTGGGGCAGAGCTGCCCTGGGAAGAGCCTGGAGGGACCCTGGGAAGAGACTTGGGTCGCTGTTGCACTTTGAAGCCCTTCTGCATGTTCCCCCATGCCCTCATCCCAGCTCCAGGCATCCTGGAGGTGCCTGAGGATGCCCTTGGGAAGCTGCACCCCCTCTTTGCACTGCAGGCCATGCCTTGGGGCTGCTCTGCCACCCTCCCAGGCTCTGGGGAAGGGCTTGTCCGGGGTCACCGCAATCGATATCTCATCTGCAGGCTCTCCTAGCGGAAGTGATGGTATATTGGAACATGGTAATGGGTCTTGTCTAGTGGAAAAGGCTAATCTTCCCCAGCTGTACAGGATCTCCGCAGGTGTCCTCCGGCTCTCCCCGCTGCCACCAGCCCTGCAGCCAGCCCAGGAGCACACAGGCTCCTTTAAAGCTGCAGCAGTCCCATTTATTGCTGTCCCAGTGAGGGAGAGTTGCCTCCAGCCTGGCCCTGCAGGGTATAGAGCCATGTCCAAGGGTTCCCAGTGCAGGGCTGGCACCCCAGGTGGCACCACACAGCACAGGTGGCCACATCAGCTCATGTTTGCTGGCCTAGAGGAGGTGATGTGTCCTCCAGAGGTGGCATTTCCCCAGGGAGGGGAGGAGGAGGAGGAAGTGGGGATGATGCCAGGAGGGTTATGGACCCCCAAAGTGCCACCTGCAAGCGTGGGTGGGAAGAAGGCACAAGCCCCAGGGAAAAGCAGGGGTGACAGCTCCTTGCTGTTAATTTGGCTCCTTTGGCAATGCTTCTGCTGCCTGGTGGGGCTCCCCACCTGGAACTTGTCCTGTTTTGCCCATCCCTAGGGATTGCTGGCAGAGCCAGGTCTCCCATTCCCCTGCCCAGCTGTCTGTCACACCCAGATGGGCTCTGGGCCCAGGTGGTCCTGGTTTTTTAAGCTGACCAGCCAGCTTTGGCTGCTGCATCCCTATGGCAAAATCAATGTTCCTGTTTATCTGGAGGTGGAGGTAGATGTAATTGCCTTGTTTAAGGTTTAATATGCACGTGGATTTTAATGTGAGTTGTCAAGAACAACTCAGAGCAATGCACAGGTTTGGGGCTCAGACATGGCCAAGGTGTGTGCAGCCCCCAGATGTGGGCTGGAAAATGAGGGGCCCAGGGACCTGGAGGGGCCCATCAGAGGCTGAGTCACCATCAGATTGCACAAGAGTCAAGCCAAAGATTGTGCTAACCTTGTTTGGGGCAGGGACTTTTCCTGGAAAAGAAAATTCCCAGAGGGGCAAAGCAGCTGTGGGGCTGCTGGGTTTTTGCTTTAACTTTATTTTGTTGGGTAAAGAAATGGATCACTGAGTCCATGCAAGGAAA